GGGTCAAAGCCCCGTTGGTTGGCCTTGGTGGGTCAAGGTCTTGTGGGTTGGCATGGGCCCGCTTGGTGTCGGCAAGGCCATGGGTCACCGGGTTGGTGCAGACCCCCTTGGCAGCCCAAGGGCCCGTGGGTTGGCGTAGACCAAAGAGGTGGGACCGCAGCGGGGCAGATCCTTCTAAATGTTTGTGAGGGAAGAAGCCTGTCCTGGGTGTTACAGGCGAAGCGGTTCCCCACATTTGGGATGAGGGGTGTGAGACCCTGCCTCTTCTCCCTGCTCACTGGGTCTCTTCTGTGCTGTAACAGGTACATTATGACAAGTGGCCGGACTATGGAGTCTACCAAGGAGTTCTTTCTGAAGCATCACTATTTTGGCTTGAAGAAGGAAAACGTAATCTTCTTCCAGCAGGGCATGCTGCCTGCCCTGGGGTTTGATGGGAAAATCCTGCTGGAGGAGAAGGGCAAGATTGCTATGGCACCAGGTCGGTGGCTGGGAGCTGGCAAGAGGGGTGCGCGGGGGTGAGACACAGTGCTGAGTACAAGCTTTTGGAGCTGGAGCCTGCGTAGGGCAATTTTGCAGCGTGACGTGGCCTACGGGTGACGCAGGCTGGGAGGTGTCCTTTTTGGCAGGGAGAACCAGGGTGGGGTATGGCTGGGCTGGTGACCCTCCACCCCAGCTCCGTGGGGAAGGAGGATGAGCGTGGGTGGCTGATGGGACACCTGGGTGTTACTGTGGCCCCAGCAGTTTGTTCCCTCCACAGATGGCAACGGGGGCCTGTACCGGGCCCTGGGGGTGCACGGCATCATGGATGACATGGAGCGGAGGGGCGTGCAGAGTGTCCACGTCTACTGTGTGGACAACATCCTGGTGAAGGTGGCTGACCCCAGGTTCATCGGGTTCTGCTTGGAGAAGGGAGCGGACTGTGGAGCCAAGGTATGGTTTTGGGGGCAGGCAGGCACCGCTTTCCTGGAGCAGGGTGGGGTCTGTCCTGCTCCTTGCCTGCCTTCCCTGACTCCTCACCCTTCTTTCGCCGGCTTGCTACAGACAGGAGGGATAGCTAAGCACTGGGAGCTCGCTGGTGGAGTAGCACATGCTGCCAGAGTCCCACCTGCCCCTAGGGTCTGTCATCCTGGGGGATTTCGGGCATCGCTGACCCCTGCCTGGTGCTGCTCCCCTCCTGCCTTGCATGGGGATGTGGCACTGAGCCTCAGGGCTCACAGGTTCCCTGGGGCCCAGAGCTGCCAGGGAGACCCGCAGGGCTTCCCGGTCCCCACCCAGAAGCTGTCCCCAGCTGTGACGTCCTGGGCACCAGATTAGGACGCAGTGGGTGCAGCTGACGCTGAGCCCAGCCCCATGTCTCACGGGTAGGACGTTGCACACCTGAAGCTTTACTTAAAGGCTGGATTAAGAGCTAAAGGGGCTGTGTCGTGTTTGCATTGGGCTCGGCTCTGGCAAACAGGTGAGAGGCCTTGCTGGCCTTGAACCTTTCAGATAGTGAGTGGAAAGGGAAAGCAGTTCTTCCTTCTGGCCTGAGCGAGAGAAGGAGGAAATAAAGCCTAGCATGCCGAAAGGAGAAAGCCCTGTGTCCCTGCACACCACCCTGCAGTGGTGGCAGTGACAGGTAGGGATTTGCTGGGGGGTCCCATGCCCAGAGGGAGGTGTGTGAGGAAGAGGGAGGTAAGGCTGGGGGGCGGATGGCTCTGCTGAGCCAGCAGCCACCTGCTTGCATGCGGTAAGTTGGCTGTTCATGTGCGGGCTGGGTGCTAAAAATATCCATCCCCTCTGCCAGCTGCATGCAGGCTTGGTGACAGATCCTGCCTGCACCCTCTGGGTGTACCTGACACCCTGTCACCCAGCCTTGCCATCTCACCCTTCTCCAGTCACTGTCACCAGAAGCACCTGGGAGGGGAGGGCCGCAGTATCCCTATCCCTGCCTTAACCCTGCTGTTCTGCACAGGAAGAGGCCTCCTCGGGGGCTGCTAGATACAATGGGGTGTATTTGAAGTGTGGGGCTTTGGGGGCCTTCCCATGACAGTGCTTCTTTTGAGCAGGTGGTAGAGAAGACCAACCCCACGGAGCCAGTCGGCGTGGTGTGCCGAGTGGATGGCGTCTACCAGGTGGTGGAGTACAGCGAGATCTCCCTGGCCACTGCCCAGAAACGGGGCCCAGACGGGCGGCTGCTCTTCAACGCGGGCAACATCGCTAATCACTACTTCACTACGGCCTTCCTCAAAGACGTAGTCAAGTAAGGGTCTGCCGGGGTGCTGCTGGTGTGCCAGAGGAGGAGCACCGGTGCCGAGCGGAGCTGGCTGCCCGACCACCTGCGCCTTGCTTTCTGCTGTTTGAGCTCCAGCTGTTTGCAGGCGTGCTGGCATGAGGCCTGTGGAGTCTGGCCCCTGCCCCTGCACGCGTGGCCTGACCCCTGCCTATCTGCACAGTCCCTTCCTTGAGATAAGGTTTCCCCAGGCCATCACTGGCTGCTGGTGCCAGAGCGCAGGCGTGCAGGGCTGTCCTCTCCTGGCTGCTGTGGGGATGAGCAGCCCGTGCCTCTGGGCAGCTGGGGGTCAGGACAGAGCAGCTGTCCTGCCTCAGCAGTGTCTGAGCTGGGGGCTGGAGACGTGCCTTGCTTGGGTGAGTGACAGCTGTTTCGTGGCCTGTTGCAGCATTTATGAACCACAGCTGCAGCACCACGTAGCTGAGAAGAAGATCCCACACGTGGACATCACTACAGGGCAGCTGATCCAACCCGAGAAGCCCAACGGGATCAAGATGGAAAAGTTCGTCTTTGACATCTTCCAGTTTTCCAAGTACGCCCTTTTCTTTCTGCGGGGAGCAGGCTGCTGGCTCTCCCTTGGACAGCTCTGAGAGCCTCTGGGGGGTGCCAGGGCTGTGCCCACTGGTGATGCCCCGGGGTCAGGACAGGATGCCAGCTCCCATGCTGTTCAGCAGCAGTGGATGATTGTGCCCTGAGATGAGCAGGGGTGTGATCAGCAGGAGGGACAGGCGCTGCATGCGTCTTGCTCAGCTGAGTCCTGCTTCTGGGCTGGAGGAGCATCTGCTGATCCGACAGCCCAAGTCCTCCCCTCCCTCCTTCATGGCTGTGAGGACAGCCTGCGGGTGTGGGCTGCAGGGGGGCTGTGGTCCCCGCTCAGCCACCCTGGCAGGGGAGAAGCCAAAGCAACAGGGAGCAGCCAAGTTTCTTAAACCTGACCGATGCCCTGTTCCCCCCACCCCCAGGAAGTTTGTGGTGTACGAGGTGCTGCGTGAGGACGAGTTTTCTCCCCTGAAGAATGCGGACAGCCAGAACGGCAAGGACAACCCCACCACAGCCCGACACGCCTTGATGTCCCTGCACCACTGCTGGGTTCTCAATGCGGGGGGGCACTTTGTGGATGAAAATGGCACACGCATCCCTGCCATCCCTCGGTGAGTTGCTGCTACTGGTGCTTCTGCATCCTTTTTGGGCTGGGTGTAAAGCACTGGGCAGTCCCCAGCCCTTCTCCATTTCAGCGCTCCTGAAACCAGTGTTGCTGGAGTGACCAGTCGTGGGTCCCTTCTCCTGGGCGGTCCATGGGGCAGAGCTGGGTGCGGGCCGGGCAGTGCCTGCAGGAGGGGCACTCGCTCGGTCAGCAGGAGCTTTCCTTCTTGATTCAGCGCCTGTGAACTGAATCCCTGCAAGCCAAGGTTGCCCGTGCAGGGAGGAGGTGGCTCCCTAAAGCCCAAGCACACCAGCAGATCAGTGCAGCAGTCAGGCTGGGGTTGTGGCATCCCTCGACCGAGAGACTTCTCACTGCCCCCGTTTGGAGAACAGCAAACCCCAGACTTGTTCTGCTCTGTTTCTTCCCACCCTTGCTAACCCTTGTTTATTCCCACGTAGTGTCACAAACGGAAGGTCAGATGCCACCCCAGCAGATGTCAATGACAAGTAACTATACCGTGCAGCATGCATGGTGGCGGGGCTGTGCTTAGGTACTAACGGGCTGTAGGCGAAGCAGCGTGCCGGGCTGCGGTCGCTGCGATGGGTGCGCGCTGGTGAGCGGGCGCCCGTGGTGACTAATGGGGCTGGGGTGCTCGGGGCTGCATGCGGGGAGCGGGGCATGTCTCACTGCAGGACCCCGCGGGTGCCGCTTCTCACGGTGGCGGGGGGGCAGCCGGCGCGGGGGGGGGGTG